ACCCTAAACCCTAAACCCCAGATTAGACCAAGCCTCCTGGCTCATGTCCTCGAAGAGACTCAGAACCTGAGCTCTTGTTCCCAGAGGGCCCACCCAGAAATCCCTTCTTTGAGACGGTTTAGGGTTTAGGGTTTAGGGTTTAGGGTTTAGGGCTTAGGGTTTAGGGGCCCTAAACCCTAAAATCCCTTGTTTGGTGGAAAAAACACGGTTTGGGGTTTCAGGCTCTAGAGCGTTTCTGCTTGCTACCCAGGGCTTGTCATTAACCCTAAGCCCACCCTAAACCCTAAAACCGCTAAACCCTAAACCCCAAACCCCAAAACCCTGAACCTTGAACCCTAAACCCAAACCCCTAAACCCTAAACCCTAAATCCTAAACACTAAATCTTAAACCCTAAACCCTAAACCCTAAACCCTAAACCCTAAACCCAAACCCCTAAACCTTAAACCCCATAAAGCCCAAACCCGAAAGTGCCCCGAAGCTGCTTCCCTGCGGACCTCACTCAGCCTCTTGCAAACGTACGTAGCCTGACCCGGGAAACCCACAACCTGAGAAATGACACTGTTTAGGGTTTTAGCGCTGAGGGTTGAAGGTTTCGTGTTTTAGAGTTTGGGGTTTAGAGTTTAGGGTTGAGGGTTTAGGGCTCAGAGTTTAGGATTCAGAGTTTAGGGTTCAGAGTTCAGGGTTGAGGGTTGAGGGATTAGGGCCCTGAGCCTAAACTTCTGAAACGGATGTCGCTGCTGTGATTGTTTTAATGTCAACTTGTCTTGGAGTTCCGGAGTTTAAAGCACTTCTCATCTCCTGAGCAGAAGCCAGAAATCCCAAACACAACCCAAAAGCAGAAATGTGCACCAAAGAGAACACAAAGCTCCTAAACCCGAAATCTCTCAAACTCCAAACCCCATCAAACCCAAACCCCTAGACCCCCTAAACCCATCATGAAACCGAATCAGACCCTGGAAGCCCTAAAGCCCTGTAAATCCTTATCGATCGCTTCAAGGATCCCTTCAATGAACCCTAGGGTATAGGGCTTAGGGTTTATAAAGGGGGGGTTTAGGGTTTAGGAACCCGCAAACCACGACACTCAGTAGAACAGAGTCACCTCTTCCCACTGCTTGGCTCTGAGACTGGCAGTTATTCCCAAAGAGTACCTGAGCTTTGGGTTTAACATAGGGGTCTTAATAATTAGAATAGGGTTTTGGCGTATATTATACTGTAACTATAATGAGGAGCCCCCAAAATACAATTGGCAATGAATTAGGCTTCCACATTAGGGCTCCCTGAAGGGGCCTGTCAGGAGTTCCGTTTCAGAGATCTACTGTACGTGCTATGAGAGCTTAGGTTTTGCGCGCAGAATTACGGGTTCAGGGCTTAGAGGATGCGTAGCCGGGGGCTCCTGTAGAGGGACTTTCTGAAAGTGCTGCTCGGGTTTAGGACTTAAGACTGAGGGCATGGGTTTTAGGGCTTAGTGTTTAGGGTTTAAGGTTTTGGGTTTTGGGTCTTGGGGTGTCAGGGCTCAGGCGTCAGGATTTAGGGCTTACTTTCCCTAATCAGCTCTAAAGACTCATATTTCTAAGGCTTTTGGGCCCAAAGACCATACTCTATGAGGCTGCTGGGCTGTTTGGAGCCTTAGAGTTTGGGTTCAGGATTCAAGGCTTTGGGGCATTAAGGTCCAGGGGCTATATAGGGTTGTTAAAACTAAGGTTCAGGGCTAAAGGACTTCTTGAGAATAAGGAAATCCGTTGGGTCATGGGTTCTGGAGGCTGGCAGGTTCAAGACAGTATTGGAGCCGAAACAGCCAGAATAGAGTTTAGGGTGTAAAGGGTTTAAGGGTTTTGATAATCTTATTGCGTAGTACTTATTGCCCCATAAGGATTAGATAGGGATACTGCGCGGAGGGCCGTGCCATAATTCTGCCTGTTGAAGGAATTCCTTACATGTCCAGAGTCCTGTGGAGGGCAACAGGAAAACAGAGCGAGTTTACAACGTAACAACAATGTAGGGGCCGGGACAGTTTGTAATCACAACCGCTATCCTTCCTATCTACTTTTACTGCATCAGCTTTCACTCACCTGGCAAACCCAGATCCTCACTATTTCGTCGTGCCGCCCGTCTCCAGGCCCCCTTCACGGCCCTAAGGGCCCCACCTGCAAGGGCTTTGTTTCGAAAGACTATACTCTGAATGGCTATCGGCACCTGAACCCTAAACCCTTTAGGGTGTAGGGTTTAGGGTTCCAGCAACCTACGTACGATTTGGTTACTTGGACCACAACCCCCCTGCGCTCGAAGCCGTGCGCCCAAGCCGCAACTCCCTGTCCCTTCAAAGAGGCTATACTCGAAAAAGCACAGGGATCAGGCTCAGGGTTGAGGGTTTAGGGTTTTTCGTACAGTCTGATAGCAAGAACGCCTGTGCAGCCTGTGCAGTTCTGGCAGCCTTCAAAACCCTAAACCCTAAACTTTAAACCCCAAGCCCTAAATCCCTAAACCCTAAACCTTAAACTTTAAACCCCAAGCCCTAAATCCCTAAGCCCCTAAACCCTAAACCCAAAACAAAGCCCTCCTAAAAGTCTAGCTGGACGTCAGAGGTACTCTGCAGGGCCAAGTGCAACTCGACGGCCTTTGCGAAGCACCGCCACCACCTGTTCGGGCTTGGGAGTTCTAAAAAGGGCTCCTGTCAGGGCTTGCTCTTTATATAGTAAGCCCTAAACCCTAAACCCTAAACCCTAAACCCTAAACCCGAAGGGTTCTATGCTTTTTTCGGGCCAAGGTTCAAGGCCAGGGGTGCGGGTTTTAGGGTTTAGGGGCTAGAACTTCCCAAACAGTATTCAAGTAGTTGAACCATGATTGACAGATTCACCGGTGTGACAAACTATACAAAAACCCTAAGCCCTAAACTTCTGCAGCTGTAGGACCAAAAAACTGCATCATCAAGCTCACGCTGACCGCAGCAATGCTAAAGACTTGGGGCTATAACCCCGATGCTGTAGGGGTTCATTTGTTAAGGTTTTCGGGTCCAAGTACATACTACATACTTGGAGGCCCAGGGGACTTAGTAACTAGGTTATAAGTAGAGTTATAAGTGCCCTAAATGGAGTTACCCCAATTATAACCCTACTTATAACCGACTTACTAAGTCCCATGGGCCTCCAAGTACCCTAGAAGGCTTTCGGGCTATGTGCAGCCCAGTGGTAAAGGGATCACTGGCTAAATCGTAAACCCGGCCATCCTAAACCCCCAAACCCTATTTAAAACCTTAAATAAAGCTAAACTTAAGGCCCAAACCACTAAATTTGAAAGACCATGGTGGGTTGAAACCCACGATCCAGGTGCACAACTTTATGCTGATACAATGATCCAGTTCCTCTCTCGTTCATAGGCGTTAGGACAGCTTTGGGTTTACTTTTTATAGGATTCAGGACTGCATGCACTATGCGATTTGTACTCATCCTGAAACCGACATTCAGAAGAAGTGCTCTGACCCTAATTAAGGATTGCCCCTTCATTCATGTGAGGCCGCAGTATATTCCTCACTTAATGCATATGGAAAGATCTGCGTTGGGAAACCTGTCGCAGCACATCCGGGCGCTTGCACGTGTTCAGCTCTTGCAGCACAATCGTGGCCGCAGCGGGATTTTGCTGCCACTCCTCTCACATGGCGAAGAAGCTCATGACAGAAAGTTCATGAAAAGACCTGTATGCATGTATGTATGTATGTATGTATGTATGTATGTATGTATGTATGTATGTGTATATACAGATACTTACTTAGAAACTGATGCATATATAGTTATATATATATTTATTGTTAAATATATATATATAGACACCTGTAAACCAAATGCCTTCCACATGCTCGGATAAGAACCCTAAGCTCTAAACTCGAATCCTCTCTTCCACAGGGTCTCTCCTGCAGATGCGGCTCCAACATCTCCTCCAGTTGCTTGTTGCTGCATTTCGCGGCCAAAAGGGCCTGGCTAGGGTTCGGAGGGAGGTTCCGAAACGGGATGTTTAAAGGGATCTAGAATGCTCTAGGGTTTAGGTTTAGGGTTTAGGGTTTATAGGGCTACCCAGATCCTAAAATCCCGTAACTAGGGAAACTACGTGAAAGCTAAACCCGCAAGCCTCAACCACTGGGCTTCGAATCGCCCGCGTGCGACCTTTCGACGAGGCGAGCAAGCCGCAGCACCGGCGCATGGCGGGTTTTAGGGCTTAGGGCTTCGAGCTTTAGGGCTCTAAAGGGTCCATGTACTATTATAGTAGGTACTTAGTAGGTAGTTGGGCCTCAAAAGTACATGCTATACTAGTACTTGGACCCTTTGAAGGCTTTAGGTGTTTAGGATTTTGGGGCTTGGAGCGTCAGGGTTCGGGGCCTCAGGGCTTAGGATTTAGGGATTGAGCCGCGCTCTTTGGCTTCGTGCTTTGGCGTTGGTGTCTTTCGGGCCCTCTGTTTGGGGCTCTGTTGGTGTCCGTAGTTTTTCTTCACATTTCCCTAAACCCTTAAACCCTTAAGCCCTAAACCCCTAAACCTTAAGCCCTCAAACCTAAACCGCAGGTTACATGCTGTTCTTTGGGTTTTGAAAAGGGTTTGGGCTTACAGGGCTTGGGACTTGAAGGGTTTATCGTTTTCGGGTCGGGTTTAGAGCTTCGGGATTAGGGTTCAGGGTGGAGAAGTTCCCAAGCCGAACTGATTGATTTCTTGTCAGCGCACCGTATGGTGCTGACCTTGGGGTTTGGGGTTTAGGGCTACGGATCAGGACTTGACATGATAATGCGGGTTCTTGGTAAACCCTAAACCAAAAGCCCTATAGACCGTAGCTACCTGAAGCGGCTGCACTCGAATCACGAAGTGTCGAGACAAAGAGACGGGCAAACTTCACACAGCCATGATCATCACTCACCGTATAACAACAATAAGAGTAACAATAATGCATTCGTACGAAATAGTAGCAATTACACCCTCAACCTAAACCCTCAACCCTAAACCCTAAACCTTAGAACCCCAAATCTACAGTCTCGGGAGCGGGATTCAGCTCTTTCGGACTTCAGGATCTCGGTGCACGTGTCGGTTTGCAGGTTCATGGGGGGGGGGTTTCCGACAATACGGGACCCCTAATATAGTATGTCAAATGGTAGGATCCTTATTGCAAGGACCCCAAAATAATGCACCCCTTATTTTCGTGAAACTCCCAAAAGAGCAGACAGGCACAGTAGCGTCTGAGGAATACAGTTTAGAGGCTGCTCGCGAAGCCCGCAGCTCAAACCGAAAGCGAAAGCAATAAAGCTCACATTTCCTCTGCCACTGGTACGTAGCGTCTGCTTTTTCATGGGGTGGCACCAAATAAATGAGCCCCGATGTGCTAGCATCCTGATTTCAAGGAGCCGTCGATGACAAAGAGGCAGCCTCAAACTCTATGAGACACCGCCAGCCCCGCCCACATTTTCAGACGACAGAGGTCTGCTAATGTCTGCCCTTCCCAAACCCTAAACTCTGAATCCTAACTCAGTTGTCCTTCCTGGGAACCCCAGCGACATAGGCAAATGCATGCTGCAGGTAGGTATATACCCAGATCTTCCCAAACCCCTTAGTTAAGGACTATGCCCTGAATCGCATGATAAGTTACGGTATACGGTATATTCTTGTAGTTGGTAGGGTTATTGATTGGTTAGGTATATAGTTTTATAGGATGCAGGATTTCAGTCTTTCGCTTTAGGGTTGGCGCTTAAAGCTTGAGGCTTCGGGTGGAAGTCCAATGACCCTAAACCCTAAACCCGTTCAGCAGGTTCCCCATTAAGGGGTCTCAGGATTAGGGGGACCTTTAGGGATGTCGACCCTCTCAACAAGGTCCCTTACAAGAGAGCCAGAAGTAGGATTCAGAAGGGCCCCTTTAAGGGGTCTCCCTAGGATAAGAGGATCCCAACATGCCCCAACGGCTTTTGTTCTCCCGATTGGCCCATCGCATCGAAGAGTTGCAAGGCGATCTGCCACTGCGCACCCTCGCTGGGAAGGCTCGCAAGCACTGAAGGGTTTAGGGTTTAGGGCCTATTGTTGGATGTTTCAGGGTTTAGGGCTTTAGGGTTTTGGAAAAACCCTAAAACCTAAATCCGAAAAGCCTGAACCAAGAACGGTTAGTGTCGTAGCCCTATGCCCTAAACCGGCTCAATGACGGACTGAGCTCCTTCAACAAAGGAAGTGCTGCCTAGACCCTAATAAAGAGCCTACCATGTTTTCAGGACTTATATAAGTGAGCTCTTGAGAAAGAGCCCTAAAAAGGTAGGTTCTTTAGGGTCCAGCTGGGCCTTAAACGAATGGACCGCTGAACGCTGGCTTCCCACTCATACGAGGACATCAATTACAGAAAACTCCAGGAAGTTCGACCCTGGGTTTAGGAGAGTTAATGCACGGTTTAGGGTTTAGGGTTTAGGAGAGTTAGTGCACGGTTTAGGGTTTAGGAGAGCTAGTGCACGGTATAGGGTTTCAGGTTTAGGAGAACTAGTGCATGGTCTAGGGTTTAGCGTTTAGGAGACTTAGTGTTAGGATTCCTTCTAGTAAACCCTGAACCCTAAAGAACATCATGTTCAAACTTTGTGCCTTCTAGTGTAATTAATTGGATCAGGAATGCTTTCGGGCTCCTTTCAACGTCCGTCAAAACGACATAGTTGCTGCGGCTCCATACCACCGGGGCATGAACCATTAGAGCAAGGTTCCTTGAAAGTTCCCGGCGCTATATTACAGTAACCAAACTACATATAATAATGTACCCTAGAACCCGATGGATATCGTTAAAGGCGTCTTTATTCTTTTCGCCCGCAAAACCTATCAAACTCTGTAGTTTAGGGTTTAGGGCTTCGGGCTTCGGGAAACCTGAACCCCTTCAAGACGAATTCTAAAGCCTATAGCACCACTGGTCCATCCCAACTGCTGTGCCGATGCGCCTTTGCACAGCAGCTGATGGCAGCATTGTAGCAGATGAGGTCCGGAGGCACCCCAGCTTGGGCCATAGATGCAAATAGCACGAGGCCCTTAGCACGAGGCTTAGCATTACGGCATAATGTAGGGGCCTTTTTTGGGTGTTCCATATTTAAACTCTACTATAATATATCTCTCACACCCTATTCTAATTTTGAAGGCCCTTATATTACGGGTTTATTGTGTACGGGACCCCGAACCAAATTCCGAAACCAACGTCGGAAGTACCCATACCCTTAATATGAAGGAGTAGTCCTTAAATTGCGATAGCTTACCCAAGGGTCCATGTGCCCCAACAATATATAAGCTGGCAGTACAGTAGTCCCGTTATAGGTATTTCGGGGCCAAAGTATACACTATTTGGGTCCGTGGGCCCTTTTACCCCAAACCCTTAACTTATGGTACCCCTAAACCCTAAACCCCAACCCTTAAGCTATGGTGCCCTTATGGGAGCCTTGGCATGCTTTTGGACTGCTGCGA